AAATAAGGAGAGAAAAACACCGTTTGAGGGCAACACCTTATGTTTCCTCTCACTCGATCCAGGTTTTTTTTTAAATCCTGATAAAATTCACACAGAATTGTCATATGTAGTACGTGCACAGTATTACACAGCCGTCACCTCAGCCTCGTCCAGAGTATTTTCCTCATTCCAGAAGGAAACTCCGTATCCTGCAACAGTCCTTCCATGCACCCTGTAGCCCTTAGCAGCCGCTGATCTGCTTTTTATCTCTGTGTGTTGCCCGTTTGGGACCCTTGGTGCAAACGGGATCGTAGAATACGCGGCCTTTTCTGCTTGGTTCTTTCACTAAGCGTAGTGTTTTCAAGGCTGCATGTATCTCGCGTCAGTGCGTTGACCCTTTTGCTGCTGACTAGTATTTCATCGAGTACCATTCCGGTGACTGCATCTGCCGCATTTTGTTGACGCGTTCACCCATGGTGGACGTTTGGCTTGCTTCTGTCTTCTGTAAATAGTTGGTGGCCAGGCATCTGTTTGGGCGCCTGTTTTGTTTCTTTGGGCGCGTGTGCAGGAGGGGCGCCGCTGGGTCGGACGGTAAGTGTGCGTGTAAGTCGCCGAGGGCGCGCCGAGCTGCGTGCGCGCTTTCTCCCTTTGCGGCCTGTCCGCGACGGTGTGCGGGTGGCGCCAGCCAGGAGCTCTGACCAAGCCCTTCCGAACAGAAGGCTTCTTCCTCCTGGCCTCCCTGTTCTGTTACACACTGAACCCCCTCTCCTGCCAGACCCCACGGCAGCCCCACGTGGGCAGGCCAGGGCCACACAGGGCTGTGCCCTGTCTCCTGAGGGTAACACAGTGTTTCTTTTCTAAGCAGCAGCCCCCCTAGGCCTGCCCATTTCACAGGCCCGCTCCGCCTTTGGAATGAGCTTCGGGGACGGGGCACACTTCAGCCCTAGAGGAGGGGGACCAGCCATGCCCACCGCCGTCCTCATTTTGAGGCTGCAGTGACGGGTTGATCAGATTTGCAGACAGTTCGCTGAGTGAGAGGGCCTTGCAGAGCAGCCACACTGAGGCCTGCACATCTCTCGGACCCAGCAAGCCCAGAGCCAGTGGCCTGCTTCGCGTGTTCCCCGGCGCCTGTCCCGGTCCTCAGGGTACTGCATGGGGCTCCGCGAGGCCACGCCCAGGCTGGAGGAGCCCGGACTCTGAGGTGGGAAAGCAGCACCTCTGCCACTGGCGCCCCGAAAAGTCGTCAGGATCGAACATGGGGTCAGCCCCTGCCCACCCCCCAGAGTGGCAGACAGGAAGCGACGGTGCCAGGCAGAAATACATGGTTTGATGAACGGTGTGCAAATGTGCAAGGAACATAAACCGCGTCCGCGGTAACAGCCCCTCTGACCCACCCCTGTCCGAGTCTCAGTACCTGACTGAGGAAGGCGTGTAGTTTCCTCTGTGAGGCAAAACAGCAGTGTACATTCCACACGGGCTGTGCTTCGCGTCTTTCTAAGCGCCGGGCGCACTGCTCACCAGACTGCAAATCCCGTGAGGGCAGGCAGCCTGCCCAGGCTTGGAGAAGACCCCAAGGTCTGGCGAGGCGCTCGTTTCTGTCTTTCTGGTGCCTAGCACCGTGCCTGACATGGACTAAGTACTGAAAGGCAGGTCACTGGCTTGATGGCTGGGTGAAATTGCCCATTGTAGTTATCTTCACTCTTAGTGGGCAAAGAATAGATTTCTTTTTTTTTTTTTTGTACTGGGAATCGAATTCAGGACCCTGCGCTTGCCAGGCAGGTGCTTGTGCTGCTAAGCTATATTCCCAGCCCTAGATTTCTTATGTACACTTGGCAGTTGTTAAAAACAGAGGTTGAGGGGCTGGGGATTTAGCTCAGTGGCACAGCGCCTGCCTGGCAGGCGGAAGGTCCTGAGTTCGATTCCCGGTACCAGAAAAAGAACAACAAAAAAAATTTTGAACAAGGTCATGAAGCCAGTAAGCCTGCGATACCAGGACAAGAATCCAGAACCCCCCAGCCCTGTGGCCCCTGGTCTTGTATGAAGACCCCAAACAAATCAGGAGAGACCGGAAATGCCACCCAGAAATGCTGAGGATGGAAAGGGGATGCAGGGTGTCCACTCAACGCCACTTGGCCTTCCTGCTGTGCCCCTGATGCGCCCTCGGCTGAGGGAAGGTGTGGGAAGCAGGAGTCAGTGTCTGCTGCCAACCTGAGCCTCACTCGGGAGGGGCCGGCCGGCTGGCGGAGAGGAGGAGGCGCGGCCGCACGTGCTGTGTCACCCGCGCAGCCCTTCTCTCTCCCGCCGCCCCAGGCTCCTGCCAGGCGCGGCTCTGCGAGAAAGAGCTGGCAGGGAGTCGCTGCTGCGGGCCGCAGGGCTGCGCGTGTGGTGTGGAAGGACAGGCCAGCTCTACCCCCGGGAGGGACGGGCAGCGGCGCCGGCACAGGAGGAGTGGGACAGGAGGGAAGGGCCAGAGCTGCCTGCATCTGCAGCCAGGAGACTCGCCGTGCGCCTTGCCCTTCTCGGAGAGCGAGCCCTCAGCAGGGGTCTCAGGAGGGACAGGGGCCAGCCCCGCCCTGCCCAGCGGCGCTGGCTTGCGAACATCCGGGGCCCTTCCTCAGCCTGCGCCGCCCTCCCCGCTGCCGCAAGTGCAGCACCTGCGTCCTGCCTCCTCCCCGCACCACCCCGCCGACGTTTTCTCCAGTCTTACTGACTGCAGAGGGGAGGCAGGGCAGCTCTGAGCCCGCGCGCAGCCTGGAGCAGGGCTGTCCGCAGCTTGTCTCCCGCTGAGCCCCCAGACGCTCTGCTCTCCAGGTGAAGTCCAGCCGCCGCTCCCTGGGGTGCTGTTCGCACCTCACCAGCTGCATCTGTGCTTGAAGGCTGAGAGCAGGTTCAGGAGCTCGGCAGCTCCACAGTGGGGGACGCAGGCCAGAGCCACCCTGCCCACACCGAGGGCCACAGGGACGCCTGGGCCGGGCTGCTGGGCCGGGCGGGCTGCTGAGAGGAGCCCCCTTCTCTCTCCCTCTCCCTCTGTTGGTTTCCCCAAGCTGACCTGGACCGTGGCCGTGTAGAGCCCATCCCTGAGACGCTGTTGCCAGGAGACCCTAGACCCACTCTGTGCAGCTCTGCGCACGGTCCACAGGAGCAGGCGGCAGGGCTCTGGCTCCCAGCAGTGAGCTGAGGGGAGGGCACCGGCCGCCACCAGGAGGAGAGAGCCAGGCGAGGCCCTGCCGGCTCGGCAGGGGGCTGCTCCCGGGAAGCCGGCCCCCAAGGCCCCGCGTCCAGCAGGCGGGACCCAAAAGCCATTCTGGGCTGAAGTGGGGCTCAGGAGCCAACCTGGTCCTGAAGGCACCCCGCCTGCAGGCGGGTCCACAGAACTGGGGCTCCGCTTGCTGTGGGCCGGCATGAGGACCACCGTGGACCCACACGGCGACATCTACCTGCAAAGCGGCCTTGAATCCCATAGGACAGAAGAGGGCCTGAGTCATTGCCTCTGATGGGCTCTGCTATTTTTACATGCAAGTCTGGTTAAAAATAACTGTCTAAGCCAAGCTTTCAGCTGCGGCTGACAAGATATTAAGTATTAGATACCTAATGCTTACAGGTGCTAACCCGCGCCCCTTCCTGTGTCCACTCTGCCTCTGCCTCATGGCTGGTGAGGAAGCCGGGAGAAGAGCCCCTCGGAGCACCTAAAATTGCTCGCCAAACTTCGGGTCTTTCTGCAGGACGTGCCCCGGGGAGCTCCCAGCTCGATGTATTCTCGGCACCCTGGCCCCACGGGGCCACCGCAGGCCGGGCCCCTCCGGGCAACACACACGGCCTGGGGCCGCCTCAGCACCCACGCACCAGCCGTATGTAGAAAGGGCCTCGCGTCCCCAGTGGCTGAGGGGACGCCTGCGCTGGCAGGGCAGACAGCGCGTGCCAGCCTCGGGCCTGGCCTGCTCCCTGCAGTGTGGACGCAACAGCTTGGCTCTCACTGCTCAGCACAAGGGGAAAGCTTGGCTCTGAGCCCAGCCTGTCTGCACCCTTTGTGCCGCCCCAAGCAACGAGGGGATTACTGGAGCTTCAGGCACACAGGGCAGAAAGTCGCCCTGACCCGGGGCTCCTGGGCCGGCAGGCCCTTCCCCCTTCCCCGCCCCTCCCAGCTCCGAGCTGAGGGGTAACACGGGACTGTGCTGGCGCAGGTGTGCGGCATTAGGTACCAGCCTATTCTGACAGATTTCTTGGCATTTAAAATAAGCAGCTGGTGCACACTTGTAATTCCAGCACTGGAGAGGCTGAGGCAGGAGGATCACTATGAGTTCAAGGCCCGCCTGGAATACATAGTGAGATCCTGTCTCGGTAAAACCAAAAAAATAAGTAAAAATAATACAATAAATGAAATATACTTAGCTGGTTCTTAAGCATAGTCCCTGTGGTATGAGGAGCCAGAGAAAGGGTTCTGTTTCTACAGCAGGGAGTGCCACGGGGCTGCCCGGGCTCCTGGCCCCACATGCCGCCAGGAAGCCCTGGCTGGGCCTCCCCACCTTCTGCAGCCACGTGACTCCCTGAGCTCCTTCCATAGAGGTCTCGAGGACACAGACCAGGGAACACCACCGGCCTGCCCCCAACACCCCCTGGGTGATGGTGATCATCAGCAAAGCTGCGTCACCATCCCAGCCCCCAGGGTGGGACCACCTTCACCTCAGACCCGCTTCTAGCGGCTACACTCCGGAACAGACAGGGCCGGCAGCCGGGGTGTTGCGGACATCCCTGTCCCCAGGAGTGGGGGTGGGGGAGGCTCCCTGTCACAATCATGATCATGAGAGTCACGGGTCAGAAGCCTGCCTTTGGGACACCTAAGGCCCACGTGACTCAGTCCCTCACCTGAGCCGTGGACGTGGTGCCTGAGACGCAAGCACATCCGCCTCCCGGGTCCCGCAGGAGCCTGGCAAATGGCAGAGCCCCGGGTACCGCCAGGGACGCACCCTGCTCTAAATCTGCCCGCTGACTGCCTGCCTGATCTCTCTTATCGCTTCTTGCAGTGAGAAGCGTCACCTTCAAGTGAACGTCACCAACCCCGTGCAGTGCAGCCTCCATGGGAAGAAGTGCACCGTCTCCGTGGAGACGCGGCTCAACCAGCCGGAGCCTGACTTCACCAAGAACCGCTCGGGCTTCATCCTCAGTGTGCCGGGCAACTGACCCTCGGAGTGAGATGGGCCGGGACGGGGGGCTGGACCCGGGACGAAGCTGCCGTGGGGCTCAGCCTCCCTCAGCATCGTAGGTTCCAGCCTAATTGCTGCAGCCCTGCTAGTGCCGCTCGATATCAGCTTGCAAGCTCCCCGCCAGGCGGGCCCCTCCGCTGCGTCCCTGCGGCCGCTGCCCTCGAGGTGGTCCTGCTGCCTTTCTGCCTTGGTCTCCATCTTCTGCTGTCTCAGCTTTCCGCGGTCCCTGCTCAGTAAACCAAAGGCCCTGGAGCCCCGCCCCAGACCCCTGGGCCAGCAGCCAGCCCACATCTCGCCTCAGAGGCCCCTGGGTGACCCTTTAGCCTGCAGCGGCCCGAGACAAGGACCGGCCGCTGACCCCAGGAGAGGAACAGGGCAGGGAGCCCAGGATGCAGTTTCCCCAGCCAAAGACACGCTCCCCCGAGGACGGGGAGGTCTCGGGGGCGAAGGCCTGCTCTCGTCCGGAAGCGATCACCCTCAGGGCCTGGCCCGGAGCTCCCCGCAGACCCCCAGCCCCCAGCAGCCAGCCAAAGCCGCCAGGTGAGCAGGTCCACCTGTAGCACCAGCCCCTCGGCCACGCCCAGCTGGGCAGCCTCTTTCCCGGAGCCCCCTGCCTCTGGCAGACTCCCCTGGCCACCAGGGCCGGGCCCAGGCCTTCCGGCCGCCTCTGCCAAGAAGCAGTGTGCGGAGGGGCGGCCGGCCACCGTCTCGGCCGCAGCCCCAGCTGCAGTCGCCTCACGCTCGTTTCTGCAGCGCTCTGGTTGCCAGTCAGATAATGTGCACCCTTCCTAAGAAAACGCGGGGGAGCGCTGGCGACTGCCACCTCCCTGCCGCAGGGCCCCCTGGGTCTCCCAGTCACTGGGAGAGCGAGGGCCGGCCGCAAACCGCGTGGGGTCCTGGCACTGCAGGCCAGGCCAGGGCGCCCGGCGCCCGCAGGCCCCTCCGGGGAGAGCTGCCGTCTTGTGCCCCGCACCGAGTGCCTGCGCTTCAGAGGCCCCGAGACCTCCGGCCTCCGCTGCGGAGCGGGTGCTGCGGCCTGCGGGCAGCCAGGCCGTGGGCGGGGAGCCCTGGGAGGAGAGCCTGGGAGCAGGCACCCGATGTTCTAAGCGGGTGCGAGGAGCCCACACCTCAGGAGGAGCTGGCGGGGGCACAAAAGGGACAGACTGAAGTTTTCTCCGCTTTCTGCCACGAACGCTGCCTCGCGCCCGCTCCTTCCGCCCCGACCCAGCGGAACCCCCGGGGCTCGCCCGGGGCGGATGTGGTCACGGCTGCGCACGGTGGTCCCAGCAGCCTGGTCTCATGCCCTCCCCTCCCCGGGCTTGGTACTATGTGCAATCTGCAACGCAGAGTCCCACTGGCGCCCTGCCCCTGGGACCCCTCTCACCCTCAGGCCTGGCCAGCTGCCCGCACGGGGAGAGGCGCCCAGTGTTGCCAATCGCCGCTAGCGCTAGCGGAGCCGTCTAACTGGAACCGCGCCTGTCCCTTCCGCCCCGCTCCCCGGACGCGCTTCGCACTAGGCACACGCAGATACATGCTTTAAGCCCCCGACAGACCATGCCAAATGAGCTGCCTGTCAGCCTAGCGAGGAACGAAGACCGTGGACTCCTCTGCCCCCCCTGGGGTTCAGCCCGTGGCCGGCCCCACAGCGGTGCCAGGGCCTGTCGCCAGGGCCAGAGGGCTGTGGCTGTCCGCAAGCACTTCTTCATGGCACACTCGAAGCGGCCACCGCGCGTGGCAGGGGAGAGGACGGCGAGGTTAGGGTGTGCTTGGTCCTGAGAATGCTTCGGGGTGCAGAGGGGACGGGCAGTGATTGTAAGCAATGAAGCGGTTTCTCTTGTTTTAATTAAATGTAGTTTTATGGTTTGGTGCATATATTCCTATTTTCCATTAAATTAACTTTATTTCTAAAGCATATTTTGATTTACCATCCAGAGCAATAAAGCATTAAATCTTATTTTTAAAGGTGTTCTGCTTATCTGTCATTGAAAATTATAATTGTGAAGTTTTAAAAGTCTGCTGTTGGGGCCGGGGATGTAGCAGTTGGGCAGCGCCCGCCTGGCAGGTGTGAGGGCCTGAGTTCGATTCCTGGTACCCAAAAATAATAAAAACAGTCAGCTGTCCATCCCAGAGGATACACAGGTGAATTAAGTACAAATAATGTAAAATGGACAATAATTTTCCTGAGGCCTTTGAACAAAAATAGCAAGAACACTGTGGGAAAGAGACAGAGAAGGCAGTGGAGTTACCCGCAAACACTTCTGCCATTTTGTTGTTCTTGGGTTTTTGGTTTTTGTTTCTGTTTTTGTTTTGGTACCGGGACTTGAACTCAGGACCTCACACTTGCCAGGCAGGCACTGTGCCGCTGAGCTACATCCCCGGCCCACTTCTGCCGTTCTGAAGCCTGCGCCCCACAGTGCGGAAGCCCACTGCTGGGCCTCAGAGGACAGGACACGATCGCACGTCTGTGGGAGGATGGGCTTGGGCCCCTGGCAGCAGGGAGAGGTCAGCACAGCCTCTGCAAGGTGGCCGATTGGGATGAGGAAGTGGAAGCAGAGGACAGACAGAGAAAGCGTGAGTCAGTTCTCAGGTAGGCAAGAGCTGCAGGCAAATAGCAGGCGGCCCAGCAGGGCTCTCGGGGTGACCCAGCTTCCCAGGCACTGGCTGCTGGCAGCAAACACGTGCGCTGGTGGCTCCTGTGGCTGAGACCACGGAGCTGCCGTGAGAAAGCCGGCAGCCCCACGCCAGGTGACAGCCTGACCCCTGGGACCAGGCCTGGGGAGGGCCGGTCCCCACCGCCCTCTCCCTTAGCCTGAGGCTGGTCTGCACGTGGGCCTCTGGGGCTAACGGGACTGGCCCCCCTTGCCACAAGTGCGAGCTGGGGTGGCTGCTCAGCTGGGAGCCCCGGGCGTTCTCTCGGAAACCTGCACAGAGCCGAGCGGGCAGGATTGGGCCACGTGGTCACCATCCACGCCTGCGGGCCCGGAGTCTCTGCCCAGTGAGTGCTGAGTGGGGCCAGCTGTTACGGAAGCAACAGCCTTAGTCGCGAGCCCTGGGCCTAAGGCCAAGGCCCACTTGGCCAAGCCACGTGTGAGCCTGACCCTCTCGGGCTCAAGGTGCCAGTCATCTACCTCCACAGGGAAGCCTCTGAGGAATGCCTGCCCCTGCCACCAAAGCAAAGCCGACTCAACCTGTGCTGCTTCCTTAATCACCTTAGTGTGTTCGGCTCTTTCCCCCAGCTCCGCCCCTCCCGCCCCAGAACGCAAATCCAATTTCGTTCTGAGTGCATGAATCACGTATTACCATTGCCCCCATCCTGCTCACCAGTGATGGGTCCATCAAAAGAGGCCCGTGTAATGGATGGTCAGTGCATTTTATTGAATCAGCACAGTACAAAAATAAATAAAAATAAGGGAAGGGGAATTAAATTACAGCCAAACTGAGCTTCGTGACTTTGTCAGATTATAAACCACACATACTCAGAAACACGCTATACATACATACAAAATAAGACAGATATAAATTAATATTAACAATACCCACAGTTTGGTCAAAGAATAGCTACAGAAGAAATTGCACTAAAAAAACCAACATACATCACAAGTGTGTAATTAGCAGTTTCAAATATACAGCTATGAATAACCCCAGGAAAAAAAATGGCACATTTTCTTTTCATTGCAGATTTAACAACTGTTGGAACAAAACTAAATTCTAATAACTGCCTGGAAAGAATATATCAACCCTTCAGGTTTACAAGAAAAAGAGAAAAATCAAATCCTGAACTATTATTCCTGTGGCTTGTTCTGTGCATGGGTATAATTTTCACAGCCATCTGTTCTAAGATTATTTTTCTTAAGACACAAAATGCTCCTGGTTTGCATGCACAATATCACTGTAAAAGCAACAATTAAAGAATAAAGGGTTTTTTTTTTGTAGGTTAGTTTTTTTCTTTTTTTGTTGTTCTAAAAGTAGTCTTCATAGCAGCATGTCAAATGGGTTCATTGCTTGCACACTCAGTCTGCACACTCAAGTATATCAGCTGTTCCTTTACACAATACTGACGACCAGTGCAAGGGGAGAGGCTTCACACTGATGGAACTAGATTGCTTCCTTAGTCCTTCACCAATCCTGAAATGTGCACCTCCTCCAAAACGTAAAAAAATAATCATAATAAATACAGAGAAAGCGAAGGAAACAGACACGAAACTGGAATCCTGTGGCTGGCACGGTTCCAGGCAGGCTCCGCCAGCTGAACGGACCAGACCACAAGCATGCGCCCGCCCTGCAGTCGCGGCACTCGGAGGGCCGCTTCCACGCCGAGGGACCCCACGGCCGCCCCCTTCAGCGCGCACGTGGCAGCAGGGTCGGAAGACGGGCTGCGTGGAAACCGGCGGAGGGGGCTGCGGTGAAGTCTGTGCCAGCAGCCGCAGGTGCCTTCGAGCTCCGTATCCGGTTATCTGTCGGTCCCGGGAACGGCTCTGCCCGGGCCTTGAGAGCGGCTGGGGAGAGGCTCTCCGGCCCCAGCGGCCCCTCCCCGTCCCCGGGAACACCTCGGCTAAAAAGCTCTGCTCTGGGTCTCTGCAGTGAGGACCTCAATTTCACAGCTTTCTCTTTTGTATGTGAATTTCAGTAGTGCTTGTGCAGAAGTCAGCCGCCACCTAGAACCTACTCCTTTGAAAAGTGACCTCTGCCTCCCAGACCCTAGCCCCCATTCCAGCGCCCCCCGGGCACTGGGACTAGAAGAGAGAGAGAATCCTCTGTAGCATCTTCACATCGCTCTTTGTTCCCCAAAGCCGGAGTGGGGCCATGCAGGAAGACTCGTTCCCTTCTGTTGGACCTCTCCCAAGCCCCAAGCCAGCAGTCTGAGAGAATCAGAAAGAAAATCAGTAAAATATACATCATGTGTTTTTACAGCCACTAAAATAAGGTGGACACCGAAACCAGCAGCTGCCAGGGCTCTGCTGTAGGCTCACCAAGCTTCCAAAGCAATCAGGAGTCGAGCTCCTGTCTTTGTCTCCAAGATCCAGCTGTCTCACTGCGCCCTGCAAGCAAGGCTTCCTCTCCAGAAGAAACTGAACTGTTTGGAAACAGTGTTAAATGAATCCTACGAAACAAGGGGTAGCAGTGGGATTCGCCATTACATCAGCCCTAGAGCTGATCTCCCCTTGCCCCCAGCTCAGTAGGACAAATGCCACGTGCACCAGCAAGAGGCCTTAGCACTCGTGGGCACCAGCTTGATCTCAGGCATGGACCCTGCTGCTAAGGGGCATCTGCCACTGTCCCGGCTCTCAATGCTAAGCTGCATTATTCAAATGAAAAGAAATCACCCGGGAAAGGAGCTGTCCCCAGCTTCACCCCATTCTTTCAGCTGGGACCCAAAAGGAGAGATCCTAATGAAACCAACCAGCCAGTACTAACACGGGAGCTGGGAGCAGTGGTCAAGAGGCAGGGGGTGAGCTCTCTTTCTCGTTAGGAAAGCCCTCCCTAAAGCAAAACGAAACAAAACAAAAACACAGCAAACCAGGGCCGTGCATGGTCAAATGACCGCCTCAGTCTCGGCAGGAGACCCACTTGGCCCCTCCTTGATTGAAGATGTCCCAGGCAGTAGGGCTCTTGCCTCATAACCCGCTCCGAGCCTTAGGGTGGCCGGCTCTAGGAGCCCCAAGGAGAAGGAACCACCCACACCGGTTGCCAGAAACCCCGATTCCTCCCTGCGCCCGCCGGCCAGCGGCCCCTCACCAGCTCCCAGCGGGGGCGGTGGGGCGCCCGGCCCCGGGTCAGCAAGGGCGCAGGCGGCAGGAGCCTCCGGGAGAGTGCGAGTCAGCGCGGGGCGGCTCCGAGCACATCTTCTGGGTCTGTACAACCTTCGAGGTTCAAAGGTCCCCAGAGTTCTTGCAGGGCGGAAAAGAACCCCAAGGAGAGCGCGTGGGAAAGGGAGAGGCCCTTGGTGGCTTTGCTAGACACATACACAAAACTCTGATTTGATAATAAATTTTTAAAAATGAATTGAATCCTTGAGCCATGATGCGACTCCGAGGCTCACCGATCGAGCCCGAGCAGCAGCCGCTTCTTGTCCTCCTGGCCGCTCTCGTTCTTCAGGTCGGAGAACACCTGTGTGAAGTAGTGCGGGTCTGCGTTGATCTGCAGCATCTTGGAGCTCATGAGGTTGATGACAGAGAGGCAACGGTCCCAAAAGGCCTCCTTGCAGCTCTCCACCAGGAAGGGCTTGAGCGGGTAGGAGATCTCGTTGCCCATGTAGGAGTAGGAGAGGTACAGGCAGGTCAGCAGGACGGCCTGAAGCTCGTGGTCCGAGCCCACCTCGGAGGAGATAACATCCCTGCAGAGCATGTAGAGGAAGACCACGTTGGCCGGCGTGATGAAGCCCTGGTCCTGCCAGCCCTGCAGAAGCAGCGAGCGGTCCACGCTGCGCAGCCAGAGCACGGGGTCCGTGGGGGACAGGTGCTTCAGGCGGTAGCACCGGCGGCAGAGGAACTCGCCCAGGCAGCGCAGCAGCTCGCTGGTGGACGCCTGGACGATGACCCGCTTGGGCGTCCCCGCGGAGGTGACGGCAGGGTGCGGGGCCTTCTTGACCGAGGAGGAGACCCCGGTCTGGGAGCCCGAGAGCTGGCTGGCCGGGGGCGCAGGCGGCTGGGCCGGTGGGGGCTGGGCGAAGGTGGACAGGTTGGCGCACGACAGCGACTTCTTCAGGTTCTCATTGTTGAGGTGCGTGATGTTGTTCTGGTAGCTGCTGTTGGGCTGCACCTTCTTGGAGTTCTTCTTCTTGGCCGACACCGCCACGATCCTCTTCCAGGGCAGCACGGAGATGATGGAGTGCCGCTTCAGGTTCTTGTCCTTGGCGTTCTTGCTGTTCTGCACGGCCGTGTAGTGGCCCACCGTGGCCGCGCCATCCTCAAACAGCGTGGCCTTCCGGTAGCTGGGGGACAGGGACAGCACCGTGCCCATGGTGCCGCTGCGCGCCCGGCGGGGGCCCGCGCCCCTGCGCGCCCAGCCTGCCGGCCGGAGGGGGAAGGCGGCTCGCCGAGCCTGCGGCGGCCCCGGGAGGAGGAGGGGCGCTCCCG